AGTCAACGGCAGGAATAATGCATTAAAATGTGTCTCTCTAGTCTCACGGTATCACGATTATCGTGGTACGTAATCTCCAAACTCTAACTTACTTCTGCAGATTCAGTTCCTTCTTGGCTAATGATATGAGCTCGAAGACGTTTATTGCAGGAGCTAAGGCAACAGCATCAGCGTACTGATCATAAATTTCCAGGACTGATTTTGAAGGTTTAAATGCAGAACTTCTTTCTTCAGCTGCAAAAATGCAAATGAAGAAATAGAAAACTATGCTTAGGCGATAGCAATGAAAAAAAGGAAGTTAAGCTGCCTTAGAGCCATCTATTGTTGAAAAATGTAAACAATTATGAAATAGTTTCCTCAAAAGACTTCCTTCCCTTTTTTGTTTGTTTGTTTATTAGCCATTATACTTAGAAAACTGAGTACTGATATAATGAACTCAGAAAAGACTGAAAAAAATGTAAAAATATATGCCAACACTGAATACTGCATGGGGAACTCTAAACATATGTTATTATGCAACTTTTGAAAATTTTGTGATTTTGCTGTTGAAGTGTGTAGAGACATTAGGTTATTTCGAAGCAGGAGACATGAAAAATGAGCAATTCCCTCACCGGGACTCGAACCACGGGCCTTTCGAATACGCGCCGAGTGTGCTGACCACTACACCACGAATGTTGCATGCTAAGAAGGCGGAAGAAATACCTTATACACTCCTCCTTTTAAAGGACGACTGGGCATTAGAGGACACAATCGCCAAATCCTGGTGGTGGAGAATCGTCATCCACTATTTTTTTTTAGTTCGGGGGCCACTGTAGAGACATTGGAATTTTTTATGCTGAGAGACGTGAAAAACAAGCAATGCCATCGCCGGGACTCGAACCTCTGACGTTTCGAATACGCGCCGAGCGTGCTGACCATTACACGACTAAGCCATGCTAAGAAGGCAGGAGAAGTACCTTATAAGTGTATGTGGCGTAAGTTCGAAGAAAACGAAGCTTAGTAATAAAAGTATAAAAAAAAGAAAGAAAGAAAGAAATGGACATACAGGAAATGGAAATAAATACTTAACAGGAGAGAGTCAAGAGCAGACTTGTAGACTGCGAGCTCAGCGAGAGCGCAAAAAACTTTAACAAATCCTTTGGGGTGACCTTTAAAAATCTGAAACATTTCAATGTTTTATTCTTTTTAATGGAGAATTTTTTCAAATAGCTTAACTTTTACCTGTGCTTGTGTAATTTAATAATTTGATTATTATTAGAGTAATAACTCGACGATATTCATTACGTCTGATCTCCATTTTGTTCGTTGTTTTGAATTTTGTTTTTTAAATATACTGAACGATCTCATGGCAACCACTTCCCTAAGGCGATCACTTTTCCTGTGACCAGTATTTTTCAGAACATAAATAAAGATCAATACTGAGCATCATCTCTCTCAAACGACTATATAAGACTCACCTTGGAGAAGAAAGGTTCACTATATTATGTTTTTATTGTACATTATTAACCAAGCAAAAAATTCCAACGTAACAGATTCCCAATTTTAATCTTAATTTGTATTTCTGTTGTACAATGTGTTAATAGATCTTTATAGGTGTTGCCCGCATTACTTGCTCCCCGTATTGCTTACTTTATTACTTGCTGCCATCACCACCTTTGGTGGTGATGGCAGTGAAAGGAGTTTTTATTATCCGTATATTCTCTCATCTGTTCTAAGACTAACAGATAAAAGAAATTCCTTATACACTCTTTTGCAAAAAAATCGAAACGCCAAGGACTTTTGCTAGCTTGACGAAAATTGGTAGGCAAAAACATCTTGATCGAACATGCAAATGATCAAAGTTTTAAGGCAAATGAGCGGGAACTGCGATCATAGCGCGCATTTCTAGTGAGCAATTCGCAAAGTATAATACCAGTAACAGAGGCGAAAAATTTATCTTTTTTTGTTGCTGCCATTATAATTCCGTAAAGAAGCAACTAAAGATGCCATTACGATGATATCGAAGACCTTAAAGACAACTAAACAACTTCGAACGTGGTCGCATTGTAGGTTTGCGTGAAGCTGGGTGGTCATACCGAGCAATAAACCGCTACCTGCAGCGTACAGACACTGCTGTGCAATGATGTTGGCAGCAATGGTTACTACAAGGAAATTGCCGACGAAATGAAGGCTCTGGAAGAACAAGGATCACAAATGCGAGGCATGACAGGATCATTGTTCGCCAGGCCCGAACCGTCCCAACGGTATCATTGTCGGCTATTCAACGCTCTACAGCCATGTCTATACCTCCTGTGGTACCGTCCACCATCTCACGGTACTTGTCTGAGGTGGGGTTACGCTCACAGAGGATTTTGAGACATTTCACTTTGACCCCACAACATCGGCGGAGTCGTCTGGAGTGGAGTCGCAGCCGAATCCTCATGGCTGCCATCAGACTGGCATCGTATAGTGTTCAGCGATGAATCCCGCTTCATTCTTAAAGCAGGCCCACCAGCGGCCGAGCGGTAAAGTCGCTGAACACTGGTAGTTCGGTCCGAGGTTCGAATCCCGCGAACGGGCTGGCTGCATGGGTGTTTTCGTGGTTTTCCCCATGTGTAACGTGTATACGAGCCAGTTTCCCTTAGAAAGTCCTAACGAAGGCATCCCTCCCCTTAGGCAGATAGCCCCAGTGTGCTTTGCCGTAATTAAATACACCACACACCACCACACCATTCTTAAAGCAGATGTGTAGAGAGGACGAGGCCAACGGTCTCAATCAGCCTTTGTTTTACAAAGGCATATAGCCATAACCCCTGGTGTGATGGTGTGGGGGCGCTGTTTGTTATTATAGCAGGTCATCTTTAGTCATCCTCGGTATATCTGTAACAGCTCAACGATATGTTGATACCATCCTGCGGCTGGTTGCATTACTATTCATGGCACGTTATCCTGAGGTCATTTTCCAGCAAGATAATGCCAGGCCACATACCGCTCGCTTTTCTCTGGACTGTCTCCGTGCGGTTGATACTCTTCGTTGGCCAGCAAAGTCACTAGACCTTTCACCAATCGAGCATGTCTGCGACATGGTGAGCCGCTAGATTCGGGCACCACAAAATATCGTAGATCTCGAGCGACAACTGATAAATGCCTGGCAGAATGTGTCGAGGATGACATTACCACTCCTTGTCTCGACCAATTCAAGCATGCATTGCCGCCAGGGGTGGTTCGACCAACTACTAATTTGAACACTCATTGGGTCACTATGAGTTCTTAACAGGTACAATGACCTTGATTTTTCACACAAACCTTCCACATCTCTTCATTAAAAGAAGTGCTTATTACCCTGTCTTCTTCTTCCAGGCAAGTGTCTCTATACTGGGTACGTAGTCATCAAGGTACCCAAGGTAACGAAAGGGCCGACTCTTTAGCTAAAGAAGCCACAAGTCACCCCTTCATAGACTCAGAGATACCACTTTCCATAGTCGCTGCCAAACACAAGATCTTCTGCGCCTTCATGTCCATCTAGCAAGCTCACTGGGACGACTCGGGAAAAAAAAAAAAAAAAAAAAAAAAAAAAAAAAAAAACTCTTGTCGACACACCTACTCTATCTTTTCCCTCCACCTACTCCATCTTCAGCCTTTTGGTTTCCACCAAAAGGCTGAAAACAGATTTCTAACTACAACAAGCTTTCACAAATCACGAAAGATTTCCCGCGTACTTCAGCAGGTTCTGCCATCAAAACGTAAAATGCGTCTGCGGTGCTTCAGCTTCTTCAGCAGACTTTTCACATTACATCCACGACTCTCCACTCACTTCTCCCATCAGAGCCTTCCTTCCTCAGCTTCAGGGATCACATAGCCTCAAAGATCTTCTTCAGGATTACTACGGACAGCGAGGCGTCAGAACTATTATAGAGTATGTGCATTCTAAGAGAAACATAATCATAGCAGATAACCAGGTCTAAGCACCTGACGAAATGTAAAGGCAGCAAGCCACAACTCATGTATATATGTAAATATCTCTAAGCTACCTAACCCTTTTTGCTAATTTTACACTAACATTCCCAAAAAATTGTAAGTTGGAGCACCCAACAAAAGTAATAACTATTGTTAAATCTGTTTATCTATAATAAGTTTGAAAAGATAAACAACCAAAGTAAGTTGCTGTAGCAACGATCAGAATAACATGATTGACCTGTAGTGCCCATTGAGGGGTGAAGCAGGCGGAATAATAATAAATAAATAAATAACCATTTTATTATCTGTGTATGAGCTATACACATATTCAATTTCATCAAAAACAACCACTTTCTTCATGGTGCTTCGATTTTTTTGCAAAAGAGTGTATGTCGTTGCAATAAAAATTTACAACGAATTGAAGTTACTTTATAATTGTTGCTTTTAAAAATATCGAAGTTGTAAGAATTCTGTTTCGCCCGTTGTCCAAAAATTTCATCTTTTGTGAATTTATCTGCTACGATCAGCTTCAAATGTAAAAATGTATATATTTCTAAGGACTTCACAAAAGATTTTTCCTTTTGCTTCAGTTGTCTACATTTAGTTTCATAAAGTTAACTAGTAAATTTTGAACGACGGCGTTTGTTATGTTCTCGATTCCCAGTATGAATGAGTTGTTGGCTATTCTTGCTGCCGCTTCATTAAATTCTTTATCACCTAAAGAGTCTCCCAGCTGATTTCGTAAAGTGTCAGTCCGTGACTAATTATCCGGCCTTCCGTAGAAAAGTAATACTCCCGGATCCTGAAGAAGAAGAAAAACCGCATCGGTCTTCCCCACCCCTGGTTTTATGAATGACCTTAAAAGGTTACACAATTTATATCTCTTGGATTTTCTCTTTTTTCACTCCCCGCGGAAACCGAGAGTTCGGCCGCAGGTGTTTGCAGCACTCAACCGGGTTCCGCTTGGCCGACTGACACAATATGGCGGCGGTATCCAAAAGATATCACGCGTCATTACACGACGGCCGCGAGGGGGCGCTGATATGCCACCTGAGCTTCGAGTTTTCCTCACTCTGGCTGATAGCGGCGAAGTTTGTTTCCGATCGCAAAGCTGGAAAAAAAGTTTTGGGGGAAACCGAGCGGTAGTTTGTTTTGTCGAAGTTCAAAAGTCCGGGAAGTTTTCGATCGTGGAGTATCGAGAATTAATTTGCTTTGTTGCAGAAAAGACCGGCTACCAAGAAAGGTAAGAGAATTTTTCTCTTTGGTACACCTTGTTACAGGCTCTCCTTGTCTGTGGGATTTTGAAAAAGTATTTATTAAGTCACCACATAACAGAAAATGAAAGAATTTGTGGATTTCAAGCGTTTTTCTTTTCAGTAATGTTATTTTTAGAATCACTTTATTTTTCTACATTGCATTTTTATAACTTTAAAAAATTGTTTTGTTTTGCTAAGTTTCTAAGTTTTCAAAAATCTTTGCTGTTATAAACAAGGCCAACATTGAGAAGGCTGCTTAATTTAATTAATTTTCCACCAATTTTGTATGTTTATTTATATTTTCAAAGATAGGATTTTTATTGCGATGAGGCACAACAGAACTTCAGGTACGTAATTGGAACAATCAGGATGGAATCGATTAATTGATTTTTCATATACAGAAAATGAATATTTCAGGTAAAATATTTACTCTCGAGCATTATATTACTTAATTTAAACAAATATAAATATATTTTTCAAGCACGAAGTACTTTATTTCGACATTAAATTAGATTTTTTCGTTAGCACCTCAAAGAAAGGTTTACCATTAATTATTTTTAAAAATTTTAAATTGTGAACATCATTATAGTTTTAAAAGATATTACTATTTTTAAAAAACATTAGAAAAAATTATGTTTTATTTTTATTATCAGTTCTGTAACGTAAGGAATTAGAAATATTTTTTATTAATTACAAAAATTAAAAAATTGGGGATGTTCGTGAACTATATATTGAATGATTTTAAAATATTGAAATAGATCCATGTTTTGAAAACGTAAAATAAAGCTTTGATGTGTTAAAAAGTGCGTTTACTGCATTTAAATCCACCACATTTATTAATCTTGAAAGATAGTTTTAAGATCTTATGCTTTGTCAAATGGCAGCAGTCTGAGAATCAGCTATGCACAGCTCTCATGGAAGGTAATTTAAAGGTCATATATTTCGCCCAGTGACACCGCTTGACAAGCGAATAAATTAGAAGACTAAGTAGATATTTAAATACAATGGAAAACTAGGAATATGGTTTCACGATTTCTATCAAAACATTCACAATAAAACAACAAAGAATTGACTAACAGTGCGTAATTTACTAACACAGACTAAGTAAGTTACGTGACCTCACGTACCTATGAAAATAACAAAAATCACGTGATATTTCACGTCACGTGCTCCTTTTTGCTACTCAGTTCTTCTTCTGCTAATCTAGCTCAAAGATACCTGGGTAAAACTTGCCCCAATAGCGAAGACTGTTTATATTTCTGGACTTCTGGAGTCTTTGCCGTCATGTGTTCCGACAACTTTTAACAAGATTCAATTAACCCATGATGTGATAATATATTATAAGTGTTACTATCTACGATATGTTTTCAAAACATAGATTAGCCGATTTAGCATGCATAAAGTAAACATTTCTATGCAAAGGAATTACATGCAAAGAATTTATTAAAAGCATTTTGAATGATTTTTCTTCCAATCTGGGAATATAAAGAAATTACTATGAGCAGAAAAATGACGCGATGCAAAGCATTATATGGAAATATACGTAACATCCTTACAATCTGAAAAAATGCAGTATTAAACTGAACTACTACAGCCAGTCGTCAACAGAACCAATATCGTTCATTAGAATATTACTAGGTATTATTTTATAGTTGAAAAGGCTTTTAAAACACAATGATAATGTTCCCCACCCCCCTTTTTTCCATGGAATAAATTTCTCAAGTAATTACACCAAACGAAAATTTTTGGTGAAGTAAATGTCTTTTCATATTTTCAAAGAGTTATTTCAGAATTTCAGGAAAACTTTCAGCTAACGGAAATACCCTTTTGACTGCATTTTGTCTATTTTTTATGCGTGACATCTGTATGTATGAATAGAATAAAAGACTCTTTTTTCCAAAACATATTACAAAATGTATTTAAAATGGATTCAAAGGATATTTTTCGTGTTTTTTCATACCTATGTATGCATCTCGCATACCTGAAAAACAATTATCAGCCGTAGAACGCTGAATTTGGTGTATAGGACTGCTATAACATCTAGTTATACATCTATAACATCTAGTTATACCAAACATATATAATATATGCAGAGAGAAGAGAGAGAGACTGATCTAGAAATGATGCAGTCCAAAAACGTTATTACAATTTTTAGATTAGAGAGGGGGAATGAAGGGCTATTACTAATTTTAATTATAATTTTTAATTGAATTTGGCAATTTTGGACTTAAAGCTTAATACTTGTAAAGCTGCTAAGTAAGAAAATATGACTTGAACTATAGATCAATTTTGACCAATTTTAAATCTTTACTTAAATATTTGTTTTAGTTCTATTCTTGATTTGAACTATGAATCGATTTTGCCTACCTTTTCGACTTGATTTAGCTTTCATAACTAGTTCTTGCATAGGAAGACGACGAAACACATTCGCTTCTATTAATTATTGTGAACTAATGGGAAATTGATTTGATCCCCTGGAAAAGTCAATTTCCGGTTAATAAAATTACTTCATTATTTAATACTAGCAGAAGTATCCGATCCCAGTTAGATTAAATTGAGAGTAATGTATCTAACAACAGAGAGAACGATACAACTGCAATCCTTCTCTAATAAAGATGCAAAAAATACAATTCATAGTCATACATTTTTCAGTCTGATGCGATATGGTCAGTCTATGGTCAGTAGTTCAGTCTGATACGATATGATGCTGATAACATTAAAAATTTCGATAGAAAAATAAGCTAATTCTCTCTCATTATAAAAGCAACAATGGGACGCAGTTTTTAATGATTTTCGTCTTTTTAATCAAATGGTCGTAAAAAGCTCAATTTCCGTCCAATATTTCACCTATATTCAATTTTAGTCGATTAAATGTGGCAAAAAAATGATCATAATTGATCAAAAATCAATAACGCGAACAAACTAACACACAAACAAACATTCATCTTTATATGTTTAGATTTTGTAAAACTTACAAATTTGTGATTAACAAACTCTACGATTTGGTGTTGGTGTATTTAATTATGGCAAAGCACACGAGGGCTATCTGGCTAAGGGGAGGGATGCCTTTCGTGGAGGACTTTCTAAGGGAAGCTGGCTCGTATACACGTTACACATGGGGAAAACTACGAAAACGCCCATGCAGCCAGCCCGTTCGCGGGATTCGAACCTCGCATCGAACTACCAGTGTTCAGCGACTTTACCGCTCGGCCGCTGGTGGGCCTTTAACTCTACGATTTGAAAGCGAGTAGTAGCAACACTTTTCGAAACAAAACATTTTTATCTCCAACGCGTCGAGACTGTTACCACTCAGAAAAATGAATGCGAAAATTAGCGCTTTCAGAGTTTTTAATTAATATTTCGGTTGATTAAAGTCGTACGAAGATGGGAATAGTCGAAATGGCTTCCCACGATTTTTGGATTCGCGAATTGTGTATTTAATGTTTGCAAGGCTATTTTTATTTCATCGTAAAATTTAGAATTTTTTTATTAATAAACTCTAGGATCTGAAAGCGAGCAGTGGCAACAACTATAATACTATAACAAAATAAAGCAGATTTTCATGTCCAGCTTGCGAGACCGTTGCCATTCGGAAAAATGAGGGCGAAAATTATCGTTTTTCAGAGTTTTTAATTAATATCTCTGATTTTAGCTAGTTTGTTTTTGGTAAAAAGTGGACGTCGACCTTTTCCAGGACCCAGAAAAGAATTGTAGAAAGTTTGGTGACGATAGATGTAGTAGTGACTGAGTTATTAGCGAACAAACAAGCACACAGACTTTCTTTATATTTATAGATTAACATAAAATTATTCCATTTAATGAACATTTTACTTTCAATAGACAATCTTAGAAATTTTTGCTAAACTATTTTATTAACAGTACACTATTTTTATCAATCTTCATGAAGTTTTTCCCTAGAAGATAATCCAAAGAATACTTTAATATATAAATATATATAATTTTTTATAAACAACGAAATCTAACTACATATATAATAAAGTTAGTCTAGCAATACTTATCTAACAATATGTAATATAATTTTATTGTTTTAAATATGTAACAATATTTAGTATCAGTTTATTGTTGTAAATATCTAGCAATTTTTAATATCAGGTTCTAGTTGCAGCAAAAAGTATGTATAATTTAATAGGCCGTACAAGGAAGTCATATAGTTTCCGCATCAGATTTTTTAAACTTGTATAGGCGGAAAATCCCGCTTCACAGAGATATGAAGGCAGCAATATTAATTTTGCCTTCTCAAACAAGATGTGGAATCTTTCTTCTATGCAGCAAGATCTCCTGTAGGCTTCGTTATGAGACGCGATATTAAGTTCGCTGTGAGGTAAGGACATCATATTCTTCTGAGGTTAAGCTCGGTGGTTTTCATTCTCGGTGAATGCATTCAGAATGCATTTAAAGCCATGAAGCACCTTTTCTTGAGATGCTGGAAAATAATATTCGGACGAATCTTTCAGAATTTCGAGGTGGGCCTGAATACTTTTCTGTATCTCTTCTTCAATCTTGATTTTATTTTCATTCAAGAAGCTTTTAGTAAGAGGGAAGCAATCAATGTCTTCTTGCATACAATATAACCGATAGATAAGTTTTCTCTAAAAAAAGCACTTCGATGTCTCCATCATAATTGTAGCATTTTTTTTTGCAGTGGTAGATTCGTTTTATTAATTTCAGATATGTCCAGATATACCAGTTTAGAACACCACTTCATCATTTAAAACCGTTGCCTGTAGAATCAGTGGAGTGAGATCCATGATATTACTTTTTTGTAAGAAATATAGCTGGAAAAAAACATCAAATGCCCTATTTTGTAAAGGAAGAATGTTTTTCTTATTGTTCTTGGCTATGTGAGGTTAACACTTTCTTGCGCAATAGTAAAGCTCTCAGCAGTATAATGAAAAATTTAAAACATCCCATTTATATGATAAATATTTATTACCATCATGCAGACAAGAGTATCCAATCTGACCCA